CTTGCATCAAGGATATGTATGTTGATAGGGACGGTATAGAAGGGCTCTATGAGTTTGCTCGAAGGGCCAACATACTTGCACCTATTGACTAGGCGGCTGACAAATGCAGGGTGCAAAATGGCTGGAAAGCTCGTTGCACCCTCCCTAACATGGGGGGGAACGCCTAAGGCACTATAAGACTAAGACATTAGCAAACTGCCCTCTGTGCCTGTATCACCGCTGGTAATATATACTCGAAGTTATAATACCACGGTCATTGAATAAAAATCGAGTATAGATAGTATAGATAGTAGTAGTGTATAATTTCTATGACACCTATACCCCTTTTCCTCCTCCTCCCAATAAGATCAACATTTCGGTGCACATATCAACATCTTATGGACATCTCATCAGTTGGTTCTTGAATTTCATGCATATGGGATATCATAATCATTTTTCTTGCATAGTCAAAAGTTATTGATTGTTTAAAAAATAAAATTCTTCAAAAATGTCAAACGAAAATCTATTCCAGATGTGGGACGAGTATTACCCATCATTCGAGGCTGCTGCTGCACACGACAATGGAGGATGATAGAGGGAGATATTCTGGATCGTCCACTGTTGCGGACACTGGGTCACTAGGTAGGTCGAAGTATCAAATAAAAGGTGAACGCGAAAAAAAAAAAAAGGTGAGTTGACCGTAACTAGTCACGACAGAGAGTGTCAGGAGAAGAAAGGATCTTATAAATCTCACATAGTGGGGCCTATTGCGTGGGACTTAGTATTGAAGTACACAATGATTATGATATGAGGAATTAGCACACAAAGAGAAAGATGCTCTCAAGTTTCCTTTTAAATAGATTTTAAATTAATTATACTTCGCTTGAGATACAGAATTATAAAAGTCCAAGATAGAAACCAGGAGTAGAGATGGGAAAAGTGTAGGAGAGAAGAGTGTAAATGGTTGCAAAAAGAGTCGAGTTTTACGCTCCGACTATGCCCAGTGGTGATGTCAGAGGATGGTCCTGCAGAGTTGTTCCCTTGCAGACGCGTGTTGAAGAGTGAACTGGATGACAAGCCGGGTACCACTTGACGATTTCGAGCCGAAGATTTAATTTAGACTGACTTTGTTTAGCGAAAAACCGCCCTTCATCTACTGCTCAGGTGAAAGTCCCCTACGACCGTTGGCATTTTGATATTTCGTCATCCAACGTTTTTTGAGGTCTTGTGGGAGGCATCTTCATATGCTTAACAATGTATTCAAAAGGGATGTTTCTGCGGAATGTACGCTCACCCTGGTGTTATCCCCTATTTCCCCAGGTGCAGGAGAAGTTTTTGAGAAAAAGACGGTACGAGCGCATATGGGCTCTCTCTAATTAATGTTCTTCTAATGTCAAAAGTGGCATCTTTACGCATTTTTCTGACGTTCGTGGCCCATAAATTTTACAACTCCTGTGACGATGGATAACTATTGTTCATGAGCAGACTCGCGTGTCAAATGGAGTGGACCCTTTGCGGCTAGCGTTGTCCCCTTGTTTGGACAACAAGAAATCATTTGGTAAATTGTGCCAATTCCTGAAAGCCATCTCATAACATTCGTGGGATATAGGGTGCAGATGGCGTCATGGTCCCGGTCAACCCCATATAACCAATGGGGGGGGGTGGGGGCACTCGGGGCAGATCTACTCCTCTTGGCCTGTCTTTTCTTTCGTCGATATCGGCCAACCCGTAGTTGAGGTTGTCCATTTCTAAATTGCCGACATTTTTAATTCTTTGGGGCAGCTCCCATCTGCGATTACCATTGGAGCGTTGTTTAAATTATTGGCCCCCAGATTCAATAGAGAAGAGAGAAGAAGTGGAAAGGTAGTAGTTGTGCCTTTGAGCAATTGTGTAGCTTCTTTTAGATGATACAGAATTTCCAGGTGTTGTCCCCTTAATAGTCAGTCCTTAACGCCTCTCAGGCCATGATGACGGCCAGGTGAATACCTGCCACATAGTCCTTTTTATTATGGTTACCCCCCATAATCGATACTTACGATGGAGATACCGACATTCCTCGCTATTATGTGGGGTTTTTCTTAAGGTTTCTTGTTTTTGTGTTGTTATACCAAGTTTTCCACTCATTCAAAAATTTAATTCATAGCAGATTGTTCAGTGGTAATTAACTCTATTAATATTGAGAAATTTAATTATAGGTATATAGAGATATATTTATGTAACAAATATTTTATTGCTGAAATTATAAAAAGATGACAATTTGAGTCCAATTGAAAGTATAAAAACATGCGTAAAAGCGTTTAATTCATTCTTCCAATTAATTTCTAGCATATTTTATTCAATACAGCCATGAATAAAATTCTTTTAATTAAAAAAAATAATAATACGTAATGGTTTCCAACATACACGGAGAAAAAATTCCATTGAAAATTAGTAAGAACCTTCCCTAAAAATCAGTGTACTCCATCAATGAGAAATTGAAATGCTGCTGACTCATTTTTTCGGAAGGGTCACATGAGAAACTGGAGGGAACGCATGAAAAAGTAGTGCATGTCTCTCAAAAATTAGAGTGCCACATACGAATTTTTGAGTGAGGCATACCATTTTGTCCAGTGCCTCCCTCTATTTCCTTGTACACCCCATGTAACGTCTCAGCGTTGGTGAAAAGGTCCACTAAATTTTGAAAGAATTTTTTCTCAGTGTATGACGCTCAGCGTGTGAGGTTAACACTCAATGCACTGAGTTATAGCGTTTGAGTAAACATGTGTCATTATACATCTTACTATGCACACAATCAACATCCGCACCGCGAACCTTCTACGCATTCCCATCCATATACGCTACAGATAGCATCATCCCCTTACCACTGCCATTCATTTCGACGTACCACAACACGCTTTCTGCACCACACACTTCCGCGTTCAATATTCTCGCAATGCTGTATTCACATTACAATATAGGATTTACATTCAGAAGCACCAAAAACTAATGAAAATAGAATGATTAAAATACAAAGACGAAAATTTAAAAAACAGAAAATAAAAAAGAAAAACGTGGCTCGGTGGGAGATTTGAACTCTGAGCGTTAAACGAAACGGCCCTCAACCGAGTAATGGTGCTATTTTAGAGATTATTGCAATTTGTATGAGCCTCATGCATCACTCGCTATCAAGGTTTTTTCTTTCCCATGTCTATCATTGACCTTCTAAATATTTCGAAGATTGCATTCTTTTAATTGTTCATGAATTACACGTTGTAGTCGATATTTCTATTAGAAATTAAACGATAAATAACTAAATGAGTCTTTATGTATATGTAGGAATGTAATATAATTTAAACGTAATTTTCTAGCTATTTCAGCAGTTTTCATTTCAATTTTTGTATGTTTATCCATGAAGAATAAAGAGATTTTGGAATCATCCTCAAACGGTTCGTTTGATCCATACCGAATGAAACAAAGTGAGTATACACACACCCATTTCGCTCTCATATTTTCTTCAACGGTTTTCAGTATGGTCATCAAGATATTTGATGCTATGGATAATGAAAAAATGAGGGGGTGAATACACCGGAAAGAAACTGTTGGAAGCAACTGTGACAATAATATTGGCACACAGACATAGTCTACGATTGTATGTGTATCGGGAACAGTTTAGCCTCTGAGGCGAATTGTAACTTAGTCGATCAAAATATATTCTAATAAGCAGACGCTGTTTACTTACATCGATACCTTTCGAATCTCTCAGTTCCTCGCCATATCTGTAAAATTATCCGTTGTTACCAAGAGGTTATGGGCCTAGTAACGCGTATAATTAAAGTCAAAATAGAGTTTGACTGGGATAAGTTTTTTGGAGAAACTAGAGTTCTCTAAATAGAGGTAAAATTTGTCAAAAGGCTGACGTATTTAAAGGTCAAAATAAAGTTTAAAGCGTGTGATGAGGCAGAATTTTGCGCCCCCCCC